TCTATACAACGAAAGGAGACTGCGACCACACAAAAGGCCACACCATCTTGGTCTTCATACCTTCGACAAAACTTACTAGCCTATCCTCTTCTGAAAATGTCTGCTGATCTAGCAACTTCACAAAATCATACGAATTTTTGCAGAGTTCCTTATTTGTATGCATAAAAACCGTGAGATATTATACATCACGCTTCCTTTATTATTCCCAATTAAACTTAGAGGGACACCCTCTTTGTGAACCTCAGGGAGACCGTAAGCCATGGGGACCCTTGCATCTCTCTTGAGTATGGAATTCATTTTCCACTTCTCCATTTCATCATTACTTACGCATACCTTAAGGGCATCCTTTAGCCTAGTCATAAGGCTTTCTGTTGGGTCTCTTATTAATACGAAATGAAAGTCCCCCTAACAATTTCATTTCGTTTGAAGGGGTGAATGGAAGGGTTTCTTAGGTTGTTTTCAAAGGAAGCCGAAGGGGAGCTGCCTGAGAGCTGTGACAAATAAGACGTCGTCTCACCGTCGCGTGAGTCCGATGAAGCCTTGCTGATTTTTATTCCGTCATGTGACGGACATGGCACAGGACACCATTATTTGCGATAATTTATGAGTTGTGTTCAACCTATTTCGTTTAAGGTGAAAAGGACTGGTAATTGAATTTTCCCACAAAGTTATGAGCATATCTGGGAATGTTGATCTGAGTCTACTGTATTAGCCAGTATTTCTCCTCCCATAGGTTCTATCAGAGTTTCCCTCTTGCATCGTAGGATCCGTCTCCTATCTTCTTTGTTTAGGTATTTCTCTCGATTCCTGCCACCCTATCTATGCTATTCATGGGGTTATTTATCACCCCATGCCGCAAGCCTTTGGTGGTTGGATGGAAGACTAACTTAAGGCTATATACCCAGAGCAATTATCATGGTCAATACTTTGCTTTATGGACCAGATCTATGACCAAACACGTCTACCCTTAACCAACTAGCTCTAGCTATTGAAGCAAATGCTTAACCAGAATCTATAGCCACAAGTTAGTCTCACATCCAGCTTAAGAATCCAGACTTTGGGGGCCTACTCAGAAGAGCGGTAGTATAAGTGCCATTAAAGGTTTGCGGCATAGGGCGGGAAATTACTCCTTGAATAGCACAGATAGGGTGGCAAGAGTCGAGTGAAATACCTGAACCAAGAAGATAGGAGACTTATCATACGAGGCAAGAGAGAGACTATGATAGTACCTATGATAAGAGGATTGCGGACTAATATAGTAATCTCAGATCAACTTTCTCAGCACAAAGGGGTGGGTGGGTATAAGAAAGCCAGCATGGGGTGTGAGCAGGCCTCATGAAATCCGCTCAAAATGGCACACCATACCACATTGAAATAAAAAATTAAGAAATTGTGATAGCGAAGGGCTGATACGAATATATAGGATAAGTGAATAGCTCAGAACAGGAGATATACCACAACTGTTTAACAGGATCGATTTCACTTGTCTCTTTGACGAGTTATAGTGTGGGGCTAAGACTGGCAAGGCCCACTGACGATGCCGACTACGATGTCATCGAAACGTCTCAGAATGTAACAAGTCCAAGTACCGACTGGAAATTACCATGCATGCTATGAACTCAAGACAAGGTGGGTTCCTCTAGGTCTTCCTGCCAGCATGTGTATTTTTTTCCAATTTTGGCCGGCAGATATTGAGACTGCCAATTACTCATATTTGTCTATTAATTTTACATTTCAGCCTTATTTTCTCATTGGACAAAATTAGAATGCCCGTTCTAATGTTTTTAACTTTGTGTCTTGTCTTCAAGCTCATGGGCCTAATATAAAAGATTAAGATTCATATTGAGAAGCATATAGTCACGACGCCTAAATAAACACTGATCTGTGCCTGCATGCCTAACTAAACTACCTAAGTGTGCATTTGAGATCACTGAAAAGAATATTCGGGCTTGTCAACAAATACAGTGTTGAATCAGCTTATACGTGCATTGTATACTTGTGTGCCCGTGTATGTATGTGTGCGGATGTTGGCGCGTGAAACCGTATGGTCAGGTTTATAACTGTTTTGCCAGTTTCCTCTTACCTTGGTCACACATTGCCTTATTTAGTGCGCATCAAAGCAACTTTCCTAAACGTTCAAAGGATGCTAATTTATTTAATAAATGAATAAATTAACCTTAAGCTGATTATTTATACATAATGTTTGTTTACGCGCAGAACAAATGCAGAAAAATCGGATGTAGCTGATTGATGATTCTTTTGAATTTGTTAATGCTCAAAAGCTCCACGAACTAAACTTACATTAACAAATCAGGTAAATCGGTCATAGTAGCTTGACTTAAGGCATGAGGCTAGGTTGCTTCCCTGATGCGGCTTACTAAGGTATTTAACCCAAGCACACCTACATAGCAGGAGTGGAGTAGAAGCAAACTTGGCTTGAATTACACATTCATAAATGACAGAAGAATCTCGCAAAGCTGTGATAAAGAATGCAGACATGCCGGAGGATATGCAAGCTGAGGCTGTGAGGTGTTGTGCTGATGCAATGGATAAGTATAACATTGAGAAAGATATTGCTGCCTACCTAAAGAAGGAATTTGACAAGCGCTATAATCCAACCTGGCACTGCATAGTTGGACGTAATTTCGGGAGGTAATCAAATTCATAAATGTATTAAATTCATGTCAAATTATTCATTATATTTTTTTCTTTTCTCTTCATAGTTATGTAACGCATGAGACAAAGCACTTTATATACTTCTACTTAGGCCAAGTTGCCGTCTTGCTGTTCAAATCTGGATAGAAACATTGGAAAATAAATCATGCGGATGATAAATGCCTAGTTACATGGACATATTGCTGCTTTTGATTAATTTTATTCCTAAATAACCTAGGTGTACAAATTAAAAGTTGATGTCTTCAGATTGACTAAACAGTGCCGGTTTAAGCGTAGCGTCTCTCTCTTGCTCGATTAGTCTATTATACATTTGACTACTTAATTTACTTTTTTACGTTCTCATCGTAAAATTTCAATTATCTACTCTCATATCTCCTTGATAATTAATTATCAGATATGACTTCACCAGATCATAAACTTTGGTGTGCTGTCACATTACTAAAAGGCTCTATTACACCACTATAGAATCCAGGACGAAGAGCTTTAATCATGTCGACATACTTTTATTCTGCTTTTTAAAATTCCAACATTGTACATTTCAAGATAGCTGGAGCCACTCCGTTTGTGCTGGTATATTTGTCTTAATAACTTCTGATGTTCTGTCTATGTAGTAATCTGGATTTTAGATTTTCCTTCATCTATTAATCTACACCGTTTGCACGAACCATTTTTAGATAAAATCAGATGCTTCATGTAGCACGCCTTAACAGAAGTATTTACACTCAATTGTCCTGCAAACAAAACACTATGCTGGCGGATTGCTGTCCTCGCCAGTTTTCTCTATTGTCCCATTTTATGATCATTAAAAATGACGCATAAGGCATATTTGAAAGTTGACACTTAAACTATTGCAAATTAAAGCAGAACTGAATCAGATATATGTGATGTCTCGATCGCCTATTTACAAATGAGAGCTTAATCAATCTACCCTGTGCACAGTGTGCATTTTCATTAAAACTGTGTTTGATGCTAAAATGAAGGCTAATGCGTCGTGGTTCATCTTTGCCATAAATTCTTACACTTACCAAATAAGCATATGGTGAATGTTTAAAGAACATTCTAGAAATATGCTATGTAGATGCTACTAGCTCAGATCTTGGGCAAAGGCAGTTGGCATTTTGTAAAAGCAACTTAATTGATAAAGAAATGGGTTGATTTGGTTATATTAGTAAAATTAAGATGATTTTTATCATGACTTAACTGAGGTGAGTAGCTGCCTCCAGAATTGCATGTTTCTGTTGCTTTAGAAGATACGAAGAGAAACTGGGTTTCGACGAGTCTCCTGAGATAACATTTTTGGAGCGACTTTCATTTCATATGAAAGTGCATGAAGAAGAGATTAGTAGGTCGATCTCCTCAGATGAGAGCGGCTGAATCGCGTTGCACTGCAGCCGTTTGGCTTTGATACGAAGTTCAGGTTGATGCAGTCCACGAGACTGACTACCTCGTTTCGAGTGAAAACGGGCTGAGCCTTCGTCCATCATATGATAGACATCATCAGAGCTGGATCTCATCCCCGTAAAAGTCTCACGTTAAAACTAGAGCAAAAAGACCAACATGAAAGGGACATTAGGTTCACAATGGAAATGGAAGAGAATAAGTTCTTACCTTTTCTGGATGTTCTTATCATTAGAGAAGAGGGTAAGTTAGGCTGAGATGTTTATAGGAAGCCAACATATAGTTACTAGAGTAAGGTTGGAATTTTGAAGTCAATGATTCTTATAAGTATGAGACTAGAGAATAGAAAACATTTGACTTAATAGTTGAAATGGCTGACAAATTTATTCTTTTAAAGTTATTATCCCTTGGGCCTTATCGAGAATAATATCTTTCTACTCAGGAATAAATTTTCAGACGGAGACCATTGAGTCAATGATAGACAGACTGAAAACTTTTCCCATGTCCTAATTTTATCGTCATGGTTTCTCTACAAAAAGATAGGCGAATTTGTAAGAAAGTGGGGGATAAACACGGTGCTCAAAGAAACCATCACACTTTCTCCTGCTAT